ACAGCCAATAGCAATGCAGGAGAAAAGATTGGCAGGGCTGGCAGGCAGAGAGAATAAATAGGAGGAGAAATCTGGGAAGAGAGGATGAAGGAGCAAGAAAAGGAGAGAAGGACACCAGGGGCCAGCCACCAGCCACCCAGCTACACAGCCAGCCATGGAGTAAGAAGTAAAGACAGGTATATAGAACAGAGAAAGATAAAAGCCCAGAGGCAAAGGTAGATGGGATAATTTAAGAAAAGCTGACAAGAAATAAGCCAAGCTAAGGCCGGGCATTTATAAGTAAGAATAAGCTTCCATGTGTTTATTTGGGAGCTGGGTGGTGGGCCCCCTAAGAGTAAAGAGTAAAAAACAGCCAACTACACCAGGGCAGGAGGGAGGAGGCAGAGGCGATGCCGCTTCCTCTCCAAACCCTCTTTGCTGAGGATGCTGGGTTACAACTTCGCCTGTCAGGTTCTTTCTGAGGGGCTGTGGTTTCTGCTGCATGGCCATCTCCCCAGGCAGCCTACCAAAACGTCACAGTCCTGACAGTCAGAGACAACAGAGCTCAGATCTGTCATCCTGCAAGGGATCCCATCCCATAGAAAATGTTATATACACTGTGGACACGAAGCCACTCAGCCAGCACCAGGCTCCTCCAGGATAACAGAGCTCACACCAAGACGCTGGCTCTTCCTTAAGGACACTGGATACAGAAGTGTGTTCCTGCGATGAGGGATTTTCCTACCACAGGGATTTCAAGCATCAGAGAACTGAATTAGAGAGAAGGCTTCTGGGTGTCATGTAGATGACAAACTGTACATGCCACCAGGTCACCAGCCTTGTCTCTTAGGTAGAGTGAGACTCTGGGGTTGTGGGAAATGCAGACTCTCGGTCCTCTTGGCTAGAGAGTGACTTGGTAGGCCTGCCCTGGGGTCCAGAGGCTGGCGTTTTGGCAAGGGCTCAGGTGCTTCTGCCCTGGCAATGCAGATTTCAGTATCTGCAAAATATGCCAGCAAACATCTGTGAACAATGGGGACTGGAGGAAAACCTTCATCATTTAAGAAACCATTGGACTGCCCTCTGGATGACAGAGAGAAAAGGGATGGACACTCCTACAGAGCATGATCAATAGCTTTAGGGCAGTCTGGCACAGTGGCTAGCGATCTGGGTCTAACCCAAAATGAGTCCTCGGATTTTTATTTTTTTAATTTATTTTATGTACATTGGTGTGAGGGTGTCAGATCCCCTGGAACTGGAGTCACAGACAGTTGTGAGCTGCCATGTGGGTGCCTGGAATTGAACCTGGGTCCTCTGGAAGAGCAGCCAGTGCTCTTAATTGCTGAGCCATCTCTCCAGCCCCTGAGTCCTTGGATTCTTGTACTTTCGTTTTGCACTTGTGCTGAGCTCTGGTTTTGCTGTATGTAAAATGAGAGCAGGAGGACCCCCAGCCTCAGGGGCTCTGGGGACTAGGTAAGGTCCTGCTGTGCCTATAGCCAATACTTACTAAGCAATTGCTGTATTGTATGCTGTGGTCAGAGTTGCTGCTGCTTAGTAACCCCCTCCAGAACTTTGGATGCCAAAGCACTGACCAGATGTTATTTGTGGACTACGAGTTATACTTAAGACAAGGCACATGGCAGATGTCCAACAAACACTACCAATGAAAACGATATTTTGATGACCTAGCCCAGCGCTCCCATTTTAAAGCTCTGTAGAGTGAGGCTCAAAGAGGTTGTGTGACTTGGCTGTGGTCACGCAACTCGTTGAGGGAAAAGAAATATCCAGTGTGGAATGGACGCACAGTTTTCCTGAGTCTGATGCTTAAGAGGAATCATGTCAGAGAGGCTAGAGGTTGTAGATGCCTCTTCCAGTACTGCCATTTTCCAGCTGGGGGATCGTGGGGGAAATTTCTAATCTTTCCTAAGCTTCCGGTCTCTTAGCAAATAGAATACCAAGAGCTGCTGACACACATGGTGAAGATGAAGTAGTGACAGAACCAGTCAGTCCGTCTTCATCTATGTCTGCTCCCAGAAAGGTGCTCTGGGTGTGCATGTAGCGGGGGATGCAGGAACAGGGACCCTGCCAGTCTTACCGTGAGGACAGCTGGCAGGTCCGGGCCCGAGCTGAGCTGTCAATGGTGGCGACAGAAAGCAAGAACAGGGACCCTGCCAGTCTTACCGTGAGGACAGCTCACAGGTCCCGGCCTGAGCTGAGCTGTCAATGGTGGTGACAGAAAGTGGTAGAGCCCATTCTCTTACTCAAGGTGCTCAAAGCCAGGTGAGGGGACATGATTCTTCTTCGTTAGAGGGACCATCAGTGTCACCCACGAGTCAGGTCTCTACTGTTCCCAAGTCACTCATGTATAGCTTGCCCCTCTCCTTTACTCCTGCTTCCAGGTGACATGAGCTTCTGGTGGGACAGACTAGGGCATCAGCATGAATAAATGCGTGCTGCTGACATGGGCACAGCCATGTCTAAACAGCCTCAGACCCATGGGAAAATGGCCAGGTCTCCCTGCTCCCCAGGGGTGAGGCTCAGAGGGAGGGCAAAGCCTTCCTCTGGTCTAAGTGTGAAATTGACCATGTGTACAGAAGACATCCACCATAGCTTTCTTCCCAGATGCCCACGTTTATGATCTGAAGACTGGCTCCCTACAGAGTTTAAACCTGCCTCCTTGATCCAGCCATATACCACAAATATACCACAGATATACCCCCTCCACACACACACCATATACCCTACCTCCTTGTTCGGCTGTATAAAATAAACACAGTAAGATTCCAGGATACTGCATCTTCTCAACCAGAAGGTCCCGTCTACCCAACCCCAGCTTTTCAGTGTCTCTGTCATGTCTTCAGCCCCAATCAAGTTCCCAGAGTCGTGCAAGGGCTCGGCACATCAGGACAGGATAATCTTTATGTTTAAGGCTTATTTAGAATAAATTTATTTTGTTTACTTTAGTTTTAGAGAGGCATAATGAAGTCTAAGGACTAAAAGCAAATAGGAAAAATGGTCTAATTGTCCATAAGTCTTTGATTTTTTTTTTTCAAGTGAGAGTAGAGAAAGGTCCCGACACAGAAACTCAAGATGAGGAGTGATTTTTCTCTGGGTTGTAAGAAGGTTTCTCAAATAAGATTGGAATTTACAGATACACCTAAGAGTAGACTTCTGAGTGTGTATTGTTCCCGGGGAGAACCCATCCAGGATGAAGGTCAATTGTCTGTGTTTCTCCACACACCCCACTGAAACACAGTGGGAACAGGAAGTCATGTAACGGAGGTTAAGCCTCAGGCCCCAGTCACTTGCCAACAGGCCTGAAACAGCTTCAAGGCAAGCTTCACCCCGAAGGATTCTTAGCAGCGAGGGAGCACAGGACTCCAGCAAGGACACTGGGAATGTGCGATTTATAGACAGGGCTCACAGGCAATGGTCTAATTTCCATTTTAAAAGAGAAAGCAGGGAGACCTCAAAACCCTTCTGCAAGCCACAGGCAACTGAATGGGGTCTGATATCTTCTAATTAATGCCATCACACCTTGATGGAGCACTCCCTCTGGCATTTCATGTGGTCAGATTTTTTTAAAAAAAGATTTATTTACTTATTTTTAAGTGTATAAGTGTTTTGCCTGCACGTATGTATGTGCACCATGTATATGCCTGGTGCTGGCAGAGGCTAGAGAGATAATTGGACCTCCTGGAATTGATGTTACAGAGAGCTATAAGGCACCATGCGGGTGCTAGGAACCCCACCCAGGTCTTCTAGAAGTGCAGCATATATTCTCAACTGCTGAGCCATCTCTCCAGCCCTCATGTCGTAGAACTGAAACCCCCTTACTGATTTTTGCTTTGGGAACAGAGTCTCGTGTACCCTAGTGTAGCCTCAGCCTTGAACTTCTGATCCTCCTGACAAGTGCCATGAGCATCGTCCCACTGGTTGTTTTAGGTAGTGCTGGGATCGAATCCTTGGTGTCCTTGTCTCTTTTTTTGGGTCAGTTTCCCTCATTTGGGCCTCCGCCCTGTGGACGGGAGCCTGCTCATGCCCAACATGAAGTATATGCTGAAGGACCGGAGAAAGGAATGAATTTATAGGCACAAACATTTTTCTTGTGGTGATCGAGTCTAGCAGCCGGTTAATGTGATTTAAACAAACATGCCCATCCCCATAGAGGCTCAGCATAGCCAGGAGGTGCTTGGGAAAAGAAATGCACAAAACCAAAAAGCTCTGGTTAGAAGAGGAAACGGAAGCCCGGCTGCTCCTTTGGCTCAGCTCCCAAAGACTGTGTACTGTCTTGTACCCCTCATGGGAATAGGGCTGTGAGTGATTGTGGGATGCGGTCTGTTGGTGGTGGGTGTGGATTCTCACACATAAGTTGGAAATGGTGGAAATCAGGAGATAATGAGCAAGCGGTCTGTGATGGTTCACTGTGACTGTCAACTTGGTGGGATTCAGGGTCACCACAAAGAGCAAGCCTCCAGACATGGTTGTGATATAGTTTCTAGCCTGGATTAGCTGAGGTGGGAAAACTTCCTCTCAATGTGGGTGGTACCACACTATAGGCTGCGGACCTGGCCTGAATACAAGGAAAATGCCAGGATCCGCCCCTCTCTGCTTCCTGTGGACATATCATGACCAGCTGCCTCAAACTCCTGTTACCACGATATCCTTTATGACAGTCTGTAACCTCAAACCAGGAGCCAAAAGAAATGTCTTCTTCCATAGGTTGCTTCTGTCACAGCAACAAGACAAGTCACTAATATATCCCATAAGTTCAAGCCCTGTTCCCCCATTTCTTAGCCATACATGTCTTGAGACCGATAGCTCCCTGCTGTACAGATACCACTGTTAACCCACAAGTATGGCCCTTTAGTAGGAATGGGCTTCACACAGGAGACCATATGTAGAACAGCATCCAGCACATAGTAGTCATTCAGCCAACATGGGTGGTTTACCTACTTTAAGACACTTACACACATTGATTTACACGTTATTTACATGCATTAATCTGTACAAGGTGGGCTAGCCCTGTTTTAGAGGTCTCAGAATGGCAGAATGGGAGGGGCTGATTGTGATGTCTTTCCTCCCGAGTGTTGCTCTCATGGGTGCCCAGTTGGAGGGTAGCTCTGCAGAGGCCACCGGCACCATGGGAAAGGCTAGCAGAATCGTCCTTTTGACATGTAGGTTCAGAACTCTCTCCTCCCTTGCCAAAGGTCTCTTTCAGTTTGCTGCAAATCCACCTGGCTGGGGCCACAGGGGACCCCGGCTTCTTCCTGTGGCTTTATACGTGCTTCTTTCAAAGACTAAGGAACAGGCAAACCGTGGGCAAAATGCTGGAAGTGACAGCATTGGTTGGACAAGTAGTTTTTTTGTTTTCCACTAAAGTCAACATTTCCTGTTGTCCTGTTATACAGGAAGACCGTGGTATACATGGGATGGAAAAAGAGCCGCAGAGATACCCCGCCTGCCCAGCCAGGGCCTGGAGCTCAGCATCTTCCAGGAGTTCAGTCTCACCCCCGTGGAAGTCATCTTGGACGGCCTGTGTATGTTAATTAGAGCAGTGGTTTTTCCCTTGGTATGAGGATTGGAGCTCACAGACGCGTCAGTGTGGAGAGCTGGGGAATGATTGTACCTTTAAAGCAGGGATTATTACCAGGATGGTAGACTAGCACATTTCTCTAACCTGCTGTAATTTTAGCAAGATAGGGAGATAAGAAGCCAGGAAGGTCATAGGTCAGCGAGAAAGCAGTTGTGTGGGCATATCTGGTGGCCCGATCTAGGAGCCAGGCTGGGGGACAGGCCCACGGAAGTCCAGTGTCTTCACTGATATTCCCAGCAGCCACTCTGCTCCTACTGAGGGGCTCTGGTCTGGAGAACCAGTTCCTGGCTGCGGGTCCCAGGGAAGCCCCAGCTTCCCTGCACCAGGTCATTTGCACATGGGAGGGGGGTGGGGGTTCCTCTCCAACTTCCCACTTCTGAGGAAATAACTTCTGGCTGCGGGATGGGGCTCTCCCAGAATTGTTCCTTTGTCTGTGGATTCCTCCCTGTTTAGCTCACAACGGAAACACGGTTCTAGGAGGAAGTGGGAAACTGTGACACTCGCTCCCTCTCCCACTCAAGATGGGAGCCTGCTTCCGTGTGGACAGTCTGCGCCATCTCCCTCCCGCATAGGCAGGGGGAACAGCAGCAGTGCCGGAGCACCCCTAAAACAGCAGCTCCTGTCCACAGCTCTTCAGTGATGCTAAGCTCTGCATGCGTCCTCTCGCTCCTCCTCCTCCTAACCCTGTACAGACCCAGAGAGACTCAGAGAGGCATAGTCATTTACCTGGAGTCACAGAGCACAGACTGCGATCCACACTCAGACCCAATTCAGCTGAAGCTTCTAGTGTCTACACTGTGATCCTTTCTTCGGTTACTAAGGACTTCTTGTTGGGAGGTTCTATAGGAAGGGACGGGAGCCTCGGGGAGAGGAAAACTGGATGAATTCTAATTCTGGATTCACAAGTGACTCGCACCAGCGGACCACACACACTCCATTCTTACCTGGTTGTTGTTTAATGCAACAGTTATTATCATTATTTTTGTCACTGGTTATTTTCCATCTGTCCTAAGCATCCACCATCACTCCACACTAAGTCGGGGGTCTTGACAGCCCTGGTCTTTCCGATCTCTGACATCATATTCAGAGCTGTCTTCCTCAGGCACCTGCTTCCTTTGTTCACAGTTTTAGAGGAACTAGATGAGATCCTGAAAATCCACACCTTAACTTTATTAAGAGGGTTTAACGCTCTAGACAACCCCTTTGTTACTTTATCATTGTGTCACAGAGAGATGTGTTCAGGTCGTTGCCGCCTGTCCTTGTCTCCCCCCCCCTTTTGACGGCTGCATCCCTGTGCCTCACCTGCGCGTGCGTGGTCCCCCTCTGTAGCATCAATGTATGGCGGGAACCCAGTTTTGCTGAGGTCCAGGGAGGTTACAGAATTTGCTGGAGGTCACAGGGGCCAGGGTGAAATCTTTCTGGCCACTCACGGTGCGTTGTGCTTTGGTACAGTGGGGAAAACACAGGCACCAGAGCCAGAATCCAGGGGCTCCAGTCTTGGCCACCTCCTTACTGACTACACGGCCTTGACCATGCTGCTTCATGTGTTTGAACCTCGGTTTTCTCAACAGCAGAGTGGGTGACTGTAACTGCCTGCCTATGATAGGTGAAACTGAAGTCTTACCACACCACTACAGCATGCAAGCACTCTGTGAAACTGAGGTTTTGTAGACTGATCAATCTCCGAGAACAGTAAATATGTGATGGTTAATAATGGTTCTAACCATATGAAAGACTCCATAAAGATTCCGGAGTCGAGGCTAAGCAGCGGCCCATATGGAAGCGCAGGCTGAGGTGGAGGGTCAGCACCCAGAAACCTCAGAGTGTGAGAGCAGTCAGAAAAGGTCCTACAGATGTCTTAGGCTGCACCAATGGGAAGCTGTGGTGTGCACACTCAGGCTGCACCAATGGAAAGCTGCGGTGTGCACACTCAGGCTGCACCAATGGGAAGCTGCGGTGTGCACACTCAGGCTGCACCAATGGGAAGCTGTGGTGTGCACACTCAGGCTGCACCAATGGGAAGCTGTGATGTGCACACTCAGGCTGCACCAATGGAAAGCTGCGGTGTGCACACTCAGGCTACATCAATGGGAAGCTGTGGTGTGCACACTCAGGCTAGCTTTTGTCTAACTTTCCTTTAGTATCTGAGGACACGCCTCCCCCCCCCCCCCCCCCCGCCCCAGGGCTGTCTGCTCATGACCTCTGCTCCCAAGGCCACTCCTAGAAGCTGTGTGGCCTCAGGCAAATTCAACTTCTACATGTCTGTTTCCTCATGCACAGAGTGGAAATAATAAAACTGCTCTGAGTATCCAGTAGAGCACTGCAGAGCATCCTCATGGTAACCAAGCCGAGCCTCATTATGACCTAAAGCCACCTCAAATTGTAAGCCAAATAAACCATTCTCTCTGAGGCTTCTTCTTGTCTGATACCTGGTCACAATAACAAGAAAACTAATTCGTAAAACTGGTACCGGGAGTGGGGTTATTATGCGATCAACCTAACTAGGTGGTTTGTTGACTCTTGGTTTGCCAGAGGAGTATGGAAGAGCTGGGGACTGGAGAAGCCCCGGAATGCTGCAAACAGAGCTTAATGGGGCATTCTAGTGGGAGTGTGGAAGACAAAACGTGGAGAGAAACGAAGACAGCAGAAGCCGGACTCATGAGATCCCAAAGGGAAACAAGCGCTCTTCATTCTCCGTGTCCCAAAGGAAAGGCGGTGTTCTGAGCCCTGGAGGGCTGGAAGAGGTCAGGGTATGATGCAATGTGGGTCGGTTGTTAAAGCCACAAGGAACTCATGGAGGAGTGGAAGAAGAGCGATTGGTCAGAAGTTAGGACTGGGCAAACACTTCATATGGGAGCAGATGCCTAAAATAAAGTCACCTTGCTGTGAAGAGCAGAGCCTAGAAAGCCCCATAAAACTCCCATTTCAGGAGGAGTGAAAGGGGCAGAACTCCAAGTCCAATGGCTAAGTGACTTCTAAGTGCCTGTGATCACTGGATACTTTATTGTTTCCCACCCCCCCACCCCAGGTCTCCTAGGGAGGAAGTCTTGGGGGGTGTGGACCAGAACCAACTTCACAGCAACCCAAGACACATCAGAAGGGGAAGGGAAACAGGGAAACAGACTCCCAATCTAGCAGCTAGTCCAAAGGGTCCTTCTGTGCTCACCCTGAGCATCGCACCCCACCTGGACTATCTACCTCACTGGCGGAGATCGCTTACTCAGCACCATCGTCCATGACAACAAGGCTTCCCAGCTGCCTGCTGGGTGCCTGTCTCCGTCTGCCCACTGTTCCTGTGTTCCCTTTCGAGTGATCTCTGCCAGACAGGAGAGAACAGAGGCTCCCCGAGGGATGTCAGCTGCCCTGACGGCCAGGGAAAGGAAGGAAAACCCATTTGATTCTGGGTGCTTCTCATCACAGTCCACGGTGTACCCACAATTCACTGTGCTGACCCCAGTCTTTCTCCGAGGCATCTTGGGCAGCTGCTTCTCATTTTAGTCCAGACAGCTGGAAATTTCATCTATATGGTGAACCTAATACTGTGGTCTTGGCACCACCCCGCGACCCAAGGAGCACTCTGCTCCAGGCTCCCCACCTTCCCAGGAGCCCGACCATCCTTGGATAGAATGTTTTAAAAGGATCCCCTGGTCCCTCTCCAGGTGCAGCTGCTGTTCCGCACTGCTGTGCTAGATGCTATGCCAATGTGGTACACACTAAGTGAAACCTTGTTGCTGCCCTCATGGGCTCACCCCTTAGTGGAGAAGGACGTGAGATAACTCTGTTCTGCAACCGAGAGCAGGGTGACCTTACCTGTCCAGAAAGGCAAAACATGCCTTTAAAACAACTCTCACAGGATGGTGTGGTGGCACAGGCTCATGACCCCAGAAGTAGGGAGGCTAAGGCAGAAGAGTTTTTAGATCAAGGTCACACCACTCTGGGCTACCCAATATGAGGGTGTATGTGATGTGATGTGATGTGATGTGATGTGATGTGATGTGAGTGTGTATGTGCATGTGTATGAGTGCATGTGTGTATATGATGAGTGTGTGTGATGGGTGTGTGTGTGTGTGTGTGATGGGTGTGTGTGTGTGTGCATGTGTATGAGTGCATGTGTATATATGATGAGTGTGTGTGATGGGTGTGTGTGTGTGTGCATGTGTATGAGTGCATGTGTATATATGATGAGTGTGTGTGATGGGTGTGTGTGTGTGTGTGTGTATGTGATGGGTGTGTGTGTGTGTGGGGGAATGGACATACACATGAGTTGAGGTCAGAGGACAACTTTCAGATGTCAGTTCCCTCCTTCCACCATCATTTCCAGGGATCAAATCCAGTTAAGTGTTGGTTAAGTCAGAGGATGAGCAGGGACCATCAGGAAAGTGGGGGGAGACTTGAAGCAGTAATGAGGGGGTGATCTGGTTTGTGTGCAGTGCTCTGGATCCACATAGCACTCTCATGATCATTTCCATTTTGCAGATGAGGAAACAGACACACGGATGTTAAATATCTTGCCTGAGGTCACACAGCTTCTAGGCGGTGATGGTTGGAGCACCGGTTAGTAAGAGGACACATCATAAGCAAACAACACTGGGCGGTGTCTCAGATATCGAAAACGAGGTTAGACAAAAGCTTGTAACCCCGGCTCCGGGGAAGCAGAGACAGGCGGGTTCCTGGGGTTCACTGGCCACCACCTTAGCCTACTTGGCAAGTCCTGGGCCAATGAGATTCCCAATCTCAAGAAGATTCCTCCTGCGGTAGATGGGCACAAATACAGAGACCTGTAACTGGACAGTATACAGAGATTGAGAGACATTGGAACACTTCGAGTGAGCTGTCTCCGTCAGATCCCTCCCCTTAGTGCTCAGGAAACTCTGTGGAAGAGGCAGAGGAGACAGAAAGATTGCAAGAGCCAGTAGGGATAGAGGACGCCAAGGAAACAAGGTCTTCTAGCCCTACACACATGCTCCTGCATACTCACAAGAGTAGGTCAGACGCAGTAAAAACAATAATCATTTAAATTCCACCAAAGAGAATGCATTAGTTCCCTTTGGTGCTGCTTAACCAAATACCTGACCACAAGCACCTTAAGGGAGGGAGGGCTTATTTTGGTCCATAGTTTGAGGGGATACATTCCATTGTGGAGGTAGGAACGTAAAGTGAATGGTCACATTAGTCTGCCTACAAAATCAGCACCATAAGGACAATGGTGCCACATTTTGCTGCCAGCTCAAGATGTAGCCTGGCCTCCTTGGGACCAAACAGTGGTAGCCTCTATATAACTTGGAACCAAACTGTGGTAGCCTCTATATGACTTGGAATCAAACTGTGGTAGCCTCTATATACCTTGGAACCAAACTGTGGTAGCCTCTATATATATTCCTTGGAACCAAACTGTGGTAGCCTCTATATATATTCCTTGGAACCAAACTGTGGTAGCCACTATATGCCTTGGTGGCTGAGTCGGAGAAAACTCTCTCCTAAGCAGTTGCTTTCCAGCAGGGAACCATTTGGTGATATATTCTGAGTTCAGGTTCTTTCCTTTCAAATGAATTCCCAGGTGTACAGGTTGGAGCCTTGGATGGGTGAAGTCTCACCCCTGGCCACCTCTGCAATCGTCCCGGTGCAGAGACAGATACTCTAGAAATGTGAACCTCTGACCATTCAGCAGCTCATCAGCCTTGTCTGCAATCCTAAACTCAACTCCTTCTTTTGCCAAACTGCGCATTTTTTGATGTCTCTGCTGTTTTTTGTCTTCTCTCTTTACAGACCTGAAGAACAGCAGTGAAGACTAACCATGATACCGCCTGAATGCTCCCGTCTTGAAATTTCCTTCAGCAAATAAATTAACCATTACTTTGGAATTTAGCCTGACTCCAGTCCTCAGGATACTGGTAAAATGTAGCCAGATTCTTTGCTGGACTATAGCAACGGTTCCAAGAGCATCTCCAATCCCGCTGTCTTCCTCCAGTGTCAATAAAGGCTGCACAAGAGCAAGAGCCTTGAAGGTATAGGAGAGAACTAGGGTTCCTCTCTTGCTTATTTTTATTTTTTTGTTTTTCGAGACAGGGTTTCTCTGTGTAGTTTTGGTACCTGTCCTGGATCTTGCTCTGTAGACCAGGCTG